AGAGCTCTGATCATTCATTCATTCATCAAATGTGTATGTTTGATGAGTGAACAAGGCCAATGCGGTGGCCCCTGCTCTTAGCAGGTACAGTCTAGTAGGGGAGACATACAACCAGGCAATGTTTACACACATAATGTCTACACGGTATACTTATTTGCAATTTGATTCTGCCTGTGATAAGCACTAAGAAGGGAAAGTAAAGGGTCCCATGAGGACGAGTGTAGGCCAAGAGTTAGGGGAGGCTTTATGATACATGTGTCTAGGGGTGTGTGTGTGTGTGTGTGTGTGTGTGTGTGCACACATACTCTCACACACACTCACACATCCCACTGAGGCCTCTGTGCTAAAGGCACATAATTAAGAGTGTAGCACTAGGTCAGCTTAATTATTCTGGAGAGCTCTTAGACCCCTCCCCCCCATTCACTATGTATTAGTGCTTCTACAAGAAGGTGAGCGGATGAAAGGATTTCTCGTGATTTGTTGCAACTGGCGAAACCTCTGATGCAAAGAATAAGCTTGAGGCTACTGGCTGCAGGGCAGTGTGGCCCAGTGGTTGAGATCACACACTTGGGGCCAGACAGATATGGTTTGGTCACGTCACATCACCACTTAAGAGCTGTGTGACCAAAGGTAAGTCACTTAACCTCTGAGCCTCAGTTTTCTCATCTGTTAAACGGTGTGGCAGATGCTGTAAGGGACTCACTTACACCTTCTCTAACCCACTTCTCCCCTTCCTGCCTCTACTAGAGAGACCCCAACCAAAGCACCCCCAGGGCCCAGCCACCCTGGCAGATAGGGGTGTCCAATGCCAGAGTTGTGGCCAAATGTCTCTCCTGAATAAGAAGGCACAGCCTTGAAAGGGGGAGACTTTGTCCTCTTCACTCTTCCTCCTTCTTCCTGAGGCACCATAGCCATTTTGTGACTACGAGGATGAGGAAGCGGAAAGAGAAACCTGGTTGGTTCTTTGATGATAACCTTGAGCAGCTGTACCAATCCCGAATCTCATTATAAAATGAATGACTGAATAAATAAATAAATGAAGTAACCCCTTACTTGTTTGAACTACGGTTTATCAAGTTTTCTGTTGTTTGCAGTTTAATGCATTTCTAAAGTGGTACCAATGGGATAAGGATAGAGCCTACGTCATGGGTTGCCACGAGGACGCAACAAGATAATGTGTACGTGCCAGTCACAGCAAGCATTGGTAAGCGGAGACTACATTGGTGCTGCTGAAGGCGGGCAAACCTGCCACCCCTGTGGCAAGTAAGTCACTGGTTGGAGCATGGGGGCAGGAGCTGGGTGGATGGCCCTACCTCGATCACTGAAGTCATCAACCAGCACAATCTCGGCGATCAGCTCCGGGGGCGAGCGGTACAACATCACATATTCAGCACACTGTGGACGGTGCGCAGGAGGGAGGACCAGCCCTCATTGTGGAAGGGGATGATGATGCTGGTGTTGGGAAGCGTCTCCAGGTAGCGCTTGCTGTTGCAGCTAGAGAGAGACATGGGGGACAGGGAGAGGACAGTTGTCAAGAGAATACAGGCATGTGGTTCGGCTAACTGCAAATCCCCTTCTTCTCTAGCCTTTAGAGAACAAGTGACAGCCAGAGACACCTTTGTCACTGCAAAACCGTCTCCTACTGGCATCCTGAAGTCCTGCCTCCAATCCCTGCGCACATACTCCACAGGGATAAGTATACGAGACCCAAAACGATGCCAGCCAATGTTGATGGAGCAGCACTGGGACCATGCGCTAACTCGTTTCAGCCTCGATCATGATGGGAATGTGGTGCCCATCCTCATGACTCCCGTGGAGGACAGCCCGTCAGTAACTCTGTGCCTCCCCCCACCGCTTCCCTGTCCCCGCTCCACCCTCATCCTCTTCCCCAATGGAGGACAAACCATTTATGCATGAGTTTGGAAGAATAAACTGGGCCTCTCCCTTTCCCTCCCTGAGCTCTACCAGGAAAGGGCGCATTTTCTTCTCTGCTCTCCATCAGCCCCAGGGTAAGCTCCAGGGTGGAAGGCCCTGCCTCTGTGGGCCTTTAACATCATTATAACACCCAGAAGAATGACCAAAGTCCCTTAATATCATCAAATACCTACTTGGTGTTCAAATTTCCCGGATCATCTTGTGTCTTTTTACAGTTGGTTTATATAAATCAGCACCAAGACAAGGTTCATATTCTGCCTTTAGCTAATATGTCTCCTAAGTCTCTCTCTCTCTCTCTCTCTCTCTCTCTCTCTCTCTTTTTTAAATTGCAGAATCTAAATGGTGGGAACTTGAGCTTTCAGCGTACAATTCTTTCAACTTTTCTGTATGTTTGACAATTTTCAGAAAGAAATGTTGGGAGAAAAAGTGGGTCAGGGTTCATGAATTTCAAATGCTCTCCACTGGAGGCACCACGGGAGGCTGGGGCAGAGGATTAAACTCTTGGGTTCTGGCGGTGAGCTCAGCTGCAGCTGTGTGAACGAACTCCTCTAATTCCGGTTTGGATGGACAAGTCAGCCCCTCTCTTTCCCCTTGGGACTCTGGAGTTCTTGCATGTCCCCTCGTGCTCCTCCACCTGGCTGCACTCTTTATATCCAGGCCTCATACAGCCCCTCGCCTCCCCTTTCCTCGCCTCCCCTTTCCTCGCCTCCCCTTTCCTCGCCTCCCCTTTCCTCGCCTCCCCTATGCCTTTGATCACTTCAGCCAGCCTTCTCCGGGAGCCTTCTCCAACTTCACTCTATCAGCCTTGAAAAATAAACGGAAGCACTTTTTTTCTTAAAAAATCCCTTTCCCGTAACTCAGCTGGGTCCTCTGTGGCCAAGAAAAACAGGTGACATCTCGTTTTCTACAAAAGGTCCTGCCTTCCCTCCAATTTCACAGGAGGCTTGTGTGATTGAAGCAGCATGGGGCGGGCTGAGGGGGTTAGCTGTAATAAATTGCCTGGAGTCCAAGGGGTGAAATACAATAGAGCTATTACCCAGTGGAGAGCCCTGGCTCTCTGAAACCCCAGAGCTGGGCCCCACAGCCTGCCAGTAGGTAACTTAGGAACAGCACCATATAATAAGGGAAGTAGACAATGCGACAACGGACTAAATTCACTTCTAATCTAATCCAATCCTGGAACTAAAGATAACCCAGAACTCAACTAAAAGGCTCAGCTTGAATGATAAGCCTGAATGTGTGCCTTTTTTCCCTCTTTTGGTCTCCTCTCTTTCTCTCCCTCTTCCCTCTATCCATCCATGCATCCATTTAATTACTAAATAGGCAAAAAATGGCATTTTGACTTTTGCCATCGGCACTAGTCAGTAGTTTGGTCCCAGCTTAGTAGAGGCTCTTTGTTTAAATAAAAATATTTGTGTGACATGCTGACATGAATCCCTTCAGTGTCCAGCACGAAACTTAGTTCCACAGCCCAGCCCACTGGCCACCTTCCTGTTGCCAAAAGCCCCGGACACCCACCTTTGCCACAAGCCCCGTTTCTCCTGCTCTTTTTAGGCCTCAGCTCCCAGCAGATAGAGGAGGCCTGGGGATGGCGGATGGAAGGCCACCACCTACCACAGTGACCCCTCCACCCCCCCCCACTTAGCAGTCCCCTTTAAGACCTGTCTGCACGCTTTGTCTTGAGACCTCAACTGGCTGGTGGCATACGCCCAGCTCCTTTGTGTATGGTAAACACAGAGCATCCCTCGCCAATGCCTTCAGACATCAGCCCAGAGAATGTGGTCTCCAAGAAGGGGAAACTAGGGCACTGCTCCCCATGAAAGAGGCTCAGTTTGGCTATGATCAGACAACAATAACCTCTGCCTCCCCATGGTGCATTGTGCCTGATGGTTCTCAAAGCACTCTCCCTTCTCTCTCCTCTGAATCGGCACCAGCCCCCGAGGAGGGGGATGAACGAGGGAGTGCTCACCCCATTTCCCACATGGAAAACAGAGCCCAGAAAGGGATCTAGGACTCAAATATAGATACCACCTATTTAAAATAACATTTATATGTGTGTGTGTTTCTTGATAAAAGTGGTAACTGCTCAGTGTAAAAGCTTAGAAAACACAGAAAAGCTGAAGGACAACTGATAATGACAGCAGCATCCTGCCCAACGCGTACACCTGCGGCGGACCTCTGCTCTCTTCTCTGAACATCTACCTGTTTCTACAACACGACATCCAAATCTTTGTGGGTTCCCAGATGCAGCGTGGCTTCCTGTGCCCATCCTTGGGCAGGATCAGGTAGAGTGATGCCCTTGCAGAGGGTCAAAGCAGTGACATGGGGACCTTCCAGCACACGATCTGGATGCCCTCTTTGCCCAGTATTTCTGGCCCCATAAAAGAAGAAGCACCTTACAACTAAGACCTGCGTGAAGAACGTTCTGCCCTTTGCACAAGCACTCCCACCATCATCTGGGTCACACACAGCCTGGTAAGGTCCCTACTTGGACAGGGCCAGGTTAATTTAGGGGTGCAGAGCATGAGGTCAACAAGGCACGATCGGGGGTGTTCCCCGCCACACACTGAAGCAGTGAAAGGAGTACAAAGTGAATGTATATCAACAGGGAAAGTTTCAAAAAATGTGAAAATTTAAACTGGAGAATACTGATAAGCAGTTGCAAAATAAGGTGGAAGATGACAATGGTGATAAGAGAAACTACCTGTTAAGGATTCCCATTATGCCAGGTAATGTTCTAAGCACTTTGGATGGATTAATGTCATTTCATAGTCATAATGCTCTTAGGAGGCAGGGACTGTCATTGCCTCCATTACGAAGAGGAGACAAGGCAGCGAGAAGTGAAGTAATCTGTTAAGGTCAAATAGCTGGTAAGGGCAGGAGCCTGGATTTAAACCCATCTGCCCTTCATACATATTAGGTTCGTACAGGGCTAATGTGTCAATGCTATTAATTATATAAGCAAAGAGAACAAACAGATCAAAGCCAAAAATTGAGGGAACTAAGTAGGAGCCTGAAGCCCTGACTCTAGTGTCTGCTCCGCATGCAACAATGCCAGTCTTCTTGCTGGGCCTTACTTGTGTCAATAAGGGGGCCACAGCAATGGTACGGCTGTGTGCCTGCTCTGTATCCCCTCTCCTATTCCTGTTTTCCTAGTCTGATGGTAATAACGTCCTGACTTTCCATGGGGAATCTCCCACCCCTCATTTCTATAAGGTTTGGGGGGAGATCCTTGCTTTCCTTGAGGGAGCCTGGCTCAGCCAATCAGAGCATTGCATCTCTTGGGCCACAGAGATGGGTTCAAGGATGGGCACTGGCAAATCAGAGTAAATCTTTGCTCAGACACTGGGAGCGAGGTAAGCTCTTTTCTGCTGAGACTCAGCATGCGAGGATATCAGTCTGGTCTGCCTGGGGCCGCCATGTAGACTGTCCCCTGTCTTAAAATGATTGACAGAACAGAAAACAGAGCCAAGAGTTGGAGAGAGGGGTTCCTACTGACATCATTTAGGGACCTGAACCCAGCTATGGCTGAAGTCAAGGTCTACTTCTGGCCTTTTCAGTTCATGAGCTGATACATTTTCTTTTCTAAGTCAGCTGGAGTTAGGTTTCTGTCATTTGTAACTAAGAGAATCCCTGCTGATACAACTGGATGCTCTTTAAGCCTTTCAGTCGAATGAATCTGGTTTGGACCTAAAGATGGCCTCTGAAGGGCTGAGGCAGAAACTCCTGTTACCGGGAGTGGTCTCCAACCTGAAGGCGCAGCCTCTCTTTCCAGCTGCAGGAAGAGAGCTCTGCTCATTCACTGACTGGGAGAAAGCGGCCTGGGCGGTGGGCGGCGGGAGGCAGCGGAGGACTGGGAGCTGACCGAGCTCATTTGTGACTGAGCGGCCCCCAATTTAACATTCCCTAGAGGATTCTGAACTCTTGAAACACAAAGATGAAATTAATATACTGGCCCTTAAGATGCGCCCTCAGGGCTCACTGCAGGAACACTAGAATATAAAAGAAAAGGAGTCAAAATCAAAGGGAAGCGTTGCAAAAATCTTCCCTCTGAGTCAACTTTGAAGTAGAACAACCCAACCAGTTCGAAGGAACTATAAAACACATTTAATTCCAACCAACACACCTGACATTGTGTGTGCCTGGACCTGGGTTCAAATCCTGACCGCCACCCTCTAGCTGTGAGACCCAGGGACGGGTTCCATCCCTTGCGGAGCCTCAGTTTCCTTAGCCGGGAAAGGGGGATGGTAACACCACGAGGATGTCATGACAGCCAAACAGCCCTGTGGGGGGAGAAGTCGCTGGCACTGTCCTTGGAGACAGGACTCAGTGTGGAGAACTCACAGCAGAGCATGCTCCTCACTTCAATTCTCCTGGAGTCTGGGGTGGCCAGCCCAGGGCAGGGCACGAGGCTTCATAAAGCTTAAGTAAGAGTTTTGCTCTTGTAGACATGTATCCCACTCTTGGAACCCCAGACTTCAACCAGTTCATGGCTCAAAACATTCTCACTTGCTTACTCTCAATCGTTACTCTCAAACATTCAAGAAATGTTTACTGAG